TGTGTGTAGGCTGTGTGCTGGCTCCCTACTGTGCATGCGTGTGTGTGCGTGTGTGTGTATGTGTGTAGGCTGTGTGCTAGCTCCCTACTGTGCATGCGTGTGTGTGTGTGTGTGTATGTGTGTACGCTGTGTGTTGGCTCCCTACATTAAGTGCTTTGCTTTTGTTTTTTGCTCCTTATTGAGGATTTGAGTCAATATCAAAATGGTGGAAAGCCACTTCCCTGTATCACAATTGCTTTTAAGACAGGTTTTATATCTATGGTACCAAAGAGTTCTGTTGTAAACAGAAATCTAACATTTTGAAAGCTTAATAGAGCTTTCCCATGCCTTGTTTTTGAGATGTGGGAGAATCTGGCCTTGGTTGCCATGGAGAACATGTACTTAAGCTGCACTTTGTCACTTCATGTGTCCACATAAGGACAAAGCAAATGCAACTTCATGTCAGTTCTTTAGGATCTGTGGCATCTCTTTCTGGGTTTTTTTTTTTTTTTTTGAGACAGAGTCTCAGTATGTCACCCACTGTAAAGAACTGTGGCATCACAGCTCATAGCAACCTCCAACTCTTGGGCTTAAGTGATTGAGCCCTCTTGCCTCAGCCTCCCAAGTAGCTGGGACTACAGGGGCCCACCACAATGCCCAGCTATTTTTTGGTTGTAGTTGTCATTGCTGTTTGGCAGGCCCAGGCTGGGTTCGAACCTATCGGCTCCAGTATATGTGGCTGGCACCCTAGCCACTGAGCTACAGGCGCTGAGCCATTGGTCTGTGGCATTTCTAAATTAAGCTAACAGCTTTTGACAGGAGAGAAACTTTTTCCCCTAAATAATCTTTCTGTTTATAATCAAAATACAAAGTGGAAAGCTAGCTACAATTCTTTCAAAAAACAGATTAAGAAGATAAATGCTGGGGTAGCGCCTTTGGCTCAGTAAGTAGGGCACTTGCCCCACATACCAACGGTGGCGGATTCAAACCCATCCCTGGGCTAAACTGCAACAAAAAAATAGCCAGGCATTGTAGCCTCCCAGCTACTTGGGAGGCTGAGGCAAGAGAATCGCCTAAGCCCAAGAGCTGGAG